ATCTCCCAAGGGGTAGTCGACGTGACAGATAGCGGTCTTGCTTGGGGGTTGGACGATCCAGGGAACGGGTTCGATGTTGGGAACATTTTTTTCATCTGAAGGATCTACCATTCTGTTTCTGAGGGTATCAGGAATGAATGCGAATGAACTGTTATGGTGTGGGTTTAGAGGGCGTTCTGAGCAGTACTTATAGTTATTGCGAGAGGAACTCTAGGTTTGCTTGCCCGAGCCTCATGACCACGCGTTACATTACAGACCGTAGAGACTGGATTTGCGCTATTGCTCACGAGCTCGTTGCCGCCGAAAATCAATGTGTGACAATCGACATACATTATGAGACGTGACATGTCTAGCAAGCTATCCGGTAGAGCATGACCAGTCGAAAGTCTTGGATGCATCGTAATGAGGATATGACGCCTCCACCTGGATGAGGGGAAATCTCGACATCCTAAAGCCTATATTAACGTTAGGTTACCCATTATGCATGTTTTTGTCTTAATGTAGGCCGCAGGCGTGTTTAAATTCTTTTCCTTGCGTGAGGTGCAGACGTTGATCGGGGTAGCATCCGGTTTTCACAACACGATCTTTCGTAGTCATGATGAAGCATCGGAATGCCGTAATCGCGGGTACGGTAGCTAGCAAGTTGTTGGGCTGTTGCAGTGATGTTGAGGAAACAGCCCTGGAGGCGCCGAGAACGCGTCCCGCGCCGCGGTCGAGGATGACTAAGCACTCCATGACGTCACGCGTCTAGCTCGGCTTTTCGAAGGACTCGCGTTCGCGCGAAGCTGCGTGGTCAAACAGAGACTCATCTTTAAACTATTGAATCCAGTTACGCGTGAATTCGCCATGATGAGGCCCGACTCCTACCTCTCAAGTCCGCCACGTAACACTCACTACGGCTCTTTAGCATCACGGACTCCGACGTTGGGCGATTAATACGCTTGCTGGTGTCTAGTATTACGATATGTTATTAAGCAGCCTTCTATGGCAGTAGCGGCATGTGCTGCTGATCATGCACACCAGTTCACGAATTACTACTCAACTCTTCCCATTTCTGCGACACAGCTACCGACCGCAGCGTCACCATCCTGACCCCACGCTTCGCTCTTTTTCTTCGTGCAATATGGGCCTTGATATCATCCTCAATGCTTTTTGGCGCCGTCTTAACCTCTTTGTTCGGCGGAGATGGTGCATTCGCAACGGCGTCTTCCTCAACCGCTACCGCCATCTCCTCACCCTTCCCTACTTTCTGCTTCTTACCCTTCTTCTTAGTACTGATACGTATCCTCTCCCCAGCTACTACCATTTCTGCATCCTCAACCCGACAAAGTCCTAGTTTTCCCAACACGCTAGCCTCAACCTCCGCTCCATACGCTTTGCGAAACGCGTCATCTAGCATGCGCTTCACAGCTACAGGCTCAACCTGCATCATCTTGCAAGTCGGAAAGACTGCTAATTCAAGCTGCTGTGCCATCGAACGGAGAAGTACATCGTCGACCTCATCGCGATCAATAATGGGCAGCTCACCGCGGAGCTTGCCGATGACGGCGTGTTTCTCGTCATCGTTGAGGTTGGCAGCTTGATATTGCTCAAATGTGTATTCAGTGATGCTAGGTTCGCGTTTCGCGACTGGAGTGGTATTGGGTGGCAAGAAGGAAGGTGGATGTGCGGGAGTGCCGATCCTTATGTCGTTCACTCCGCTCAGACGCCCCACGACAACTCTGGGTTCGCTTTTCTTGTCGCGTTTAGGCATACGTTGATAGATGCAGTGCGATGTTCGGAGTTGAGTTGGATAGGCGTTTCTATTGACGAATGTGATTAGGTAAAGCAGCCAGAAGCTTATGTAGCCAGAAGGTGCTTTGCACACGACCTACTAACCCTGTCATTCACTTCCATGTTGATCTGATTGGAGCGAGACTATACTTTCTGGTGCGCTCGCATCGGAGGCTTGTACTGTACGGGCGCATGTGGCTCGCTGTCTTGCATTACTGGCAACGAATAGTTGAGGAAAGATGGAAGACGATTTGACAAGAGTGAAAACGCGGTGCATCTGATGACGGTAGATATTTCATTAATAGTTTATTATATCATTCACATCGAATCATGCACCCCGTGCCTCTGGATCGCTCCAAGCTCATAGCATCAACAGTCCGGCAAGAACACCAAAGACGCTGACACCAACGGCGCCTTGACCAAGACGTGCAGCTGCGTTCTCAGTCTGCTGAGGCGGTGCACCAGTCGTGGGTGAAGTGCCGTTGCTGGTACCGTTACCAGCTCCGGGAGTGTCCTCCCTCTGGCCGTCGACCTCCTCGATACGCCCATCGAGCTCGATGTTTACTGGTGTCTGGCTCAAGATGTACGAGGTGAGTACCTCATCTTGGGTGTCCAGAGTAATGAAATCGGTCGATGGCTCGAAGAAGTTGTCACCGCCACCAGCGATAAAGTCAAGAGTGACCATCTGGTAGGTAGTGTCATTGTTGAGAGGCTCGTCGCCGATGGTGACAGAGACCAGCTTGGAGTTGTTGGCATTCTCGGGGTTGTATTCGACCTTGATGCCGGTGCTGACCTGGAAGAAGGAGGTGACTTCCCTGCCATTGCCGACGTTGACACCGGTCACGATACCCTCTAAAGACTCCCAGAGGGTCTTGCCATCGATTTCGACCTGAACAATAGCATTACCAAAGGGGAACGAGGTCAGGACTTCGCCGCGGGTGATGTCACCCTGATCAATGGTGGCACGGATACCACCAGCGTTGATGAGAGCAAAGTCGACGTCATCGGTGTTGTTCTTGCGGTAGGCGAGCATAGCATCAGCCATGAAGTCACCGAGCAGACACTCTTGTTGTTGGCAGGTCGTCTGGTCGAGCTCTACTTCGCTGGTACCAAGCACCTCAGCAGCGAACTCCTCGAAGGGAATGCGCCACTCCTCAATCTGCTCTTGAAGGTCCTCATCCTGTTCAGTAGTGTTGGTGAGGTGAATCGGGGCGCCATGATAAGCGAGAATCTTGCCCTGAGGGTCGTATGTGACATCGATGTAGCCGAGGTACTCGCCCCAGCGGTAGGCAGTAACAATGAAGACCTCGTCGCCATCTTGGTTCTCAACAATGGTTGGGTATTTGCCCTCGGCGTCTTCCATGTCACCGAGAAGGGTGTGGCTATGGCCACCCATGATGAGCTGGAGACCAGTAGTAGCCTTGGCCAGCTCCTGATCCTTGTCGTAACCAATATGAGTGAGAGCAGCAATCCTGGTGATGTTGGTAGTGGCCTTGATCTCATCGATGGCACCTTGGACGGCCTCAACGGTGTTAGAGAAGACAGTGGTAACATCGGCGTTGCTGAGACTACCAGTCTCCTCTGCAGTGACACCGATCAGCGCCAAGCCGTGCTCCTCGAAGATGGTGTATGGCTTGACAGTCTTGTTGACGTTCTCGTCTTCGGAATGCACGTTCGCGCTGACGATGGGGAATGTGAGGTTGACCAGGAATTCTCCGAGCGCCGCATCACCGCCATCAAACTCGTGGTTGCCGAGAGTCATGGCATCAAATCCGAGCTGGTTCAGAGTCTCCGCAATCTTCTCGCCACCGTAGTAGCCGTAGAACAGAGTGCCCTGGAACTCATCACCGGCGTTCAAGAAAAGACTGTCCTCGTAGTTGGGGCGTTGCTCCTCGATGACGGTCTTCACACGCGCGTAACCACCATAGCAGCCGCGCTCGGGCCTGGTGCAGTCGGTTCCTGAGGAGCTGAACTCATCAAGGTGGGCATGCACGTCGTTGATGTGGAAGAATGCTGAATCACGTGAGCAGAAGCAATGTTGGAGTCAACACATGCTGACTTACAGATGTTGTAGTTTCCATCCGCATCGATACCTCGCTTCACCATACGCTTGCTGTACAGCGCGTCTTCTGCTTGAGCGATCGCCGTCAGCGCCGAGACGGCGATAAGTGACGCGCTAGATCCAGTGGCGAACTTCATCTTCACTCCGACTGGGCTTGGTGGAGTTGGTGAGAAGAGGCACGAGCACGACAGTAAGCCTCCTTTCTGGCAGCCTGTCACTATTTGTACCACGCAAACAAAGCGGACGCCGCCGCCTCAGTAGCTGCAGTCACGGCATTTCAGCCTTGGCAACCTTGGCGGTGGCCGTGCTTAATTCTCGGCAACTGCCTCTTGAGGTTTGGCGCCTTGCTGTGCCTGATAACAATTCACCAATGAGCAACACACGTGCGGCGTGGGCTTACAGGACGCAGGAACGTTGCACGGAGACCTGGAACTCGGCGTTGCCTGCTGCATGATTTCGATGACATTGCCGTCAACACGTGGGCTTGGGATGTGAAATAACTAATGGAGCTGGCGCTTAGAGGAGGAAATACAGTCCTCTGGGAGCCGAGCTATCCATAGTCGAGTTCATACTAACGGGAAAACGGGCGGACCGATGACGGTGATGATGATACCGGTAACGGGCCAGATGTGGCATGCCAACTCCGAAATCCCCAAGACCTGGATCCTGGAAGCCCCGGACTTCAGAAAAGGTTCGTTCGTACGTAGAGGAAGATGAACATGTATAGTACATTGCGCTACGACAAAAAGACGAATATGTAGTAAGCAAACAAGAACGGTATACAAAATGTGAAAATCGCCCAAACGCAATCCTCCAACATCAAAGCCAACAAAACCGTTATCACACCTGTGCGAGCCTGCCGCACCTCCTCCAAGACGCTCGCGTCCCACTGCATCGGTTTCCAAGTCGTAAAAGCGTTCGCGATAAATGCGGGGTCCCACCACTCGCCCCGCCCTGTCGAAAAGGACGCCCCGGCTTTGTTACGTGCTAGTGATCGTCAGCGTAAACCCACTTATCCTACCGGACCTCCATCAATCTTCCCATCATCTCATTCCATCTCTTGAACAGCGCTCCTTTCTCGTCCGCAACCAAAGCCTTGATAATCGTCGTTAGCGAAGAATGTAGAACCGCTTTGGAAGTCTCTTACCTCCAATAGGCCCATCTCTCAGATCACCAAATCGGCACCTTGGAGACATTTCAGGTGCTCGTCCGCAAACTTCTCTAACCGTGACTCAACCCCCGTGGTCGGCCATCGCAAAGGCTTCTTGTACGCCTTGACACCCTTCGCCGGGATAGCCGCGTTGTCGAAAGGCTCCTTGAACGATCCGAAAACCAGCACGGGTGTCTCCATCGCCCGATTACCGCACCACAACTTGCCAGCCTTGCCGATGTTGCTCAGATCCTGCATCATGCCAACATCATCCGCGGTGATGACATTGGAGGCCTGCAAGGCGATCCTGAAGTCTGCATTGCCGTAGTCAAGCTGACCCAGCGCTGGTTGCTCGCTGCGAGCCAACGCTTCTTGGCGGCGGCGCGCCTCGTACCGCTGAACGCTGGCGTAGCGGTTGAGGAAGCGTCGCTTGATGGTCAGGGCGCCACTGTTGGAGCCTTCAAAGAGTTGAGTTGCACCTCTGCCTGGCGAGGGTGGCTGAGAGTGGAGAAGGCCCGTCGGTGGCTCCCAGGAAAAGGACGCTGTGGACCCATCAACTGCAGTAGCGGACTGCTTGACGGTCTCTTCTACGTCGTAGAAGCGTGGCGCGATGGGTCCCTCAACGTAGTAAACGTGCTTCTTGACGGCCTGGGAGTTGGGCTTGCGCATGGCAGACTTCAGTACAGTCTTGGCCTTGCGTGATGCCTGTGCATCTGGCTTCCTTGCAGACCTCTTCGTGTTCGCACGGCTGACTCTGCGCTTCGACAACGAAACTGGAGCCAAGTTCCGCTTCGGGAGCGACTTGGCAACAGTGGTTGGCTTGTTCGGAGTCTTGCGCAGAGCTGCCACCGGAGCGACCGGCTTGCGTGGCTTTGACGCCGTGGCGTCGCGAGTCGATGATGATGTTGACGTTGTCTTCGAGGTAATCATCTGTCGTTTCGTAGTCTTCTGGGAGACAACAACAGATTTTGGCTTGACAACAGGTAGCCGTGAAGCTGGAGCCTTCGCCGAATGTGGCCTTTCGACAAAAGCTAAAACTGAAAGACGTTAGTTGTGAAAATAATTCGAACTCAATGAACTCGCCTCCTTCACTGGCGTCCTGTGTCAGATGAGACTCAGTCGTCACCGTAATCCTTGATCGCACGCGCTCTAGACCAACCGAATCACCGGTGTAGTCAGGGCAGCGAGACAATCCCACGAACCAGTCCCGGTTGGTGCGTAGCCCCATACCGAGCCGCTTCATGCTGACCATCTTTCGTCCGAAGAGGTTCATGGCGGAAGTCTGCTGCTCAGGGCTGACGGAGTCGTCGAAGCTGTTGTCGTTGAACATGAGCGAAGTGTTGTCCATGTCGTCGTCCGCGGGCTCATCAATCTCCGACGCCGGCTCTTCAAACTCCATCGTAGGCTTCTCGGTCTCCTCATATAACTCTTCCTCGTCATCCTCCGCCTCCGTAGTGGTCTCGGCAGCGAGTACCGTAATCTTACGCCGAATAACCACACTCGTCATCCTCGCCCAAAGCCTCGACTGCCTCCGTACACTAGCCTCTTTCACCGCCGTAATCGTAGGCCTTGGGATACGCGTCTTACCAATCCTGCTATCCGCATTCTGCTTATAGTCAGCTCGTGCTCTAGCAAGTATCTTGGGTACCCTTGGCGCCGAAGCGGTAGTAATTGTCCTTGACGCCAACACACGAGGTGCTGGCTTAATTTGCTTCGCCGCCACCGGAGTAGCAGCTAGCCTTGTCCTTGAAGAAGTTGGTCGATGGATTCGCTGGTACAGCGGCCTGACCGGGTTGGCAGTGACATTAGTGTTGACTGCGGCGCGGCGCATGTCGGGGACGCGGCGGGCAGGAGAGAGCGCATTCACGACTTTCTGAGTAGTGGCAATTTGCATTGTGACTAGTCTGTGACGATGTGAGTGTCTGGATATGAGAGAAGGTGCAAAAAGCAGGGGGCTTACTCGAATGTGTGGATGTGGTGAGGAGGCAGAAGTCGGGTGGGATCAAAATATTATATGTGTGGGTTGCGGGCGCCGACGCGCGAGTTTGCTATGGCAACGAGGAAATTCTCTCTATCTCGACAGAGATGGGATGGAAATTAGTGTTGGAAGTATACGCCATTATCTGCATTCCGTTTTGCGACGACGTGGTCGACATGCACTGCGTTCTCAAAGTCGCGTTTACGATTCAGACGCGCTAGAGCATCAGATCGCAACCCCCGAAGTGCTGGAAGCTTATCAACACTCACTATTGAGTCAAAGAGGTCGTTTCATGAACACATTTAAGCCAGCGTAGACTTGTTAGAGCAAGCGATAGTCGACGTTCCTGCACTCAAGCTTCCAATACACTGATAATACTAAGGAATATCATGTGGATTTATTCAGATATATTGCTCTCATTTATTACACATTACTACCTAACTAGCAGTAAGAACAACCTTCCCACCACTCAAGCCCTCCGCCTTCGCCTCAACTACAATCTCCCCACTAGCACCCGCCTCGCTCCTCACGATAGCCAGGGCCATTCCGCCAAACGCCTTCCTCTTCGTCTCCGGGAACGGGCTCATGTCTGTCGGATCACCATTATCTGTAGCAACGATAACGCCTGGGCCAGACGAGACCTCGAAGCTAATCTCATCATCAGCCATAGGGACCAAGATACCATCCTCGTCGTGCACGGAAACAGTGATGAATGAGAGGTCGTAGCCGTCACCAGCGATCTTTGTGCGGTCAGCAGTCACGTTCAGCGATGCGGCTGATCCCGCTGTGAGCTGGGATGCGGTGGCCCATTCTTCGCCGTTCTTGTATGCAACGACGCTGATGTTGCCGGGGCGGTACTTCACACCATCCCAGCGGAGTCTATAGTCGTACTTTCCCCTTGATTGACGGCCTGCAGAGACACCGTTGACGAAGAGTTCTGCTTCGTCACCAGAAGTGTGAACATGTACGGGTGTGATCTCGCCGATGCGATCTTCGGGCCACGTCCAATGGGGGAGGATGTGAGCCATGGGTAGATCTGGTCTCCAGCGTGCTTGGTAGAGGTAGAAACGATCCTTCTTGAAACCAGCCAAGTCGATGATACCGAAGTAGGAGCTGCGACTTGAGTTGTCGTATGGAGTGGGTTCACCGATGTAGTCAAATCCAGTCCAGACGAATTCACCAGCGACATATGGGTGCCTGTCTTGTTGCTCGAAGACTTTATCGGGTGATGCGGCCCATTCAGGTGCGTAGAGATCGTATGAAGATACAATGTTGCTCTCTGGGTCTCCACCTTCCCCAGGTCCGCCGCCTACGATAGCACTCTTGTTTGCGGTGATAGGGAAGAGGTATTTGCCGCGAGTGCTCAGTGCTGATGCAGATTCGGTGCTCCAGATCATCTTCTCGGGGAATTCTTGTTTGAAACTGGGGAAGGTGCTCACCCAGGAGTCTCCTTTGCCTTCACCTTGGTAGTTCAGACCGACGATGTCGATAACGGCTGCTATTCCAGTAGTGGCGTTAGCGTTGTTCATACCGATGGTCACTTGGCGGGTAGGGTCTTCTTCGTGAGCTATGTCTTGGAGTGTTCTGCAAGTCTCAGTACCAGTAGAGTTCCTTTGTTCGGGAAGCTCGTTGCCAACACTCCATGAGATGATGGAGGGGTGGTTGCGATCACGGCGAATGAACGATCGGAGGTCAGGCTCGTGCCATTCTTGGAAGATACGATGGAAGTCGTTCTCCACCTTGGGAAAGTTCCAGGTATCGAAGATTTCATCCATGACCATGAGACCGTATCGATCCGCGAGATCAAGGAACTCGGGGGCAGGTGGGTTGTGAGACGTGCGAAGAGCGTTATTGCCCATCTCTTGTAGGATTTCGATCTGACGTTCCGCAGCCCTGGTGTTGAAAGCTGCTCCAAGAGCGCCCAGGTCATGGTGGTTGCAAGATCCCTGAACGTAGATACGCTCGCCGTTGATGAGAACACCTTGGTTTGGATCGTACGTGACCGAGCGAATACCAAATACAGTTTCATAGGTGTCCATAGCCTCTCCGCCGACTGAGACGGTAGAGATAGCGACGTACTCGTTAGGCTTTTGGCTAGGTGGTGGTCCCCAAAGCTTTGGGTTTGGAACTGTGACCGAGCCATGTACTGCTTGTTTAGAATGGCCTGCAACGTCCGCGTTCGCTGCAGCAAATTTTGCGACAGCTTCACCAGTAGCTTGTTTCGTAGTTGCGTCGCGCTCAAAGACTTCGGTGACAACTTCAACATGTTGACTGCTGTTACCCTTGTTTTCCAGATCAAGGACCATCTCGACAGTAGCTTCCGCTTCCGAGATGCTAGGAGTAGTGACGTAGGTTCCCCAATGTCCAACATGCACTGGGTTGACTGTGACAAGCCAAACATTACGGTAGACACCAGCGCCCGGGTACCAGCGCGATGAGTCGAGCTTGTTGTCCAGACGAATAGCAAGTGTGTTCTCGCCAGCTTTGGCGTAAGGAGTAAGATCCAGACGGAAAGAGTTGTAGCCGTATGGCCATCCACCAACGAGGTGGCCGTTCAGCCATACCGCAGCATACGACATAGCTCCATCGACATCCAGAAAAACGGATTTGCCAGAGTGGAGGACTTCCGCATCCATGGAGAGCGTGCGGCGGTACCATCCAATTCCGTTGATCGGTAAGCGACCCAAGCCTCCCTCAACGCCTGGGGCGTCGAAAGTACCGGAGATAGCCCAGTCATGCGGGAGAGAGACAGCATCCCACGCGGCATCGTCGAAGCTAGATTGGACATAGCTGATGTTGGCGCCGGGAGCGGCACCGGAAGGTCTCTCGTACTTTTTTCCGGTGATGAAGTCGTTCGCGCAAGGTAGCATCCACGGCTTCAAGCCCTCATAGCTTAGACCATCTGGATCTGAGGTGAATCGCTCAAATCGCCAGTCTGCGTTTAGCGAAGTACGTTGACGGCCTGATGTTGTAGATCGTGGCTTGGACACCACATGAGCGGCTGTAGCGTCGAAGCAGGTTGAGAACAAGAAGCCAAGGAGTAGTATGCTGTACGAGTTGTACAGCGCTCGCAAGGAACCCGTCATCCTGATGGGTGGTGATATGTTGGGAAATATACCAACTTCAGAACTAGCTCATCTGATGGTTGATGGCACCGATGCTGTCACTAAGGATGAGCGATAAGCGTGAACGACGAAGACGGTAGATACACGGCTACTTTGTACCCAAGCAGAACCATACGATGCGATAGAGCACACTACGGGTCATTTCCCTCCGTCCCATGCACACACTCCGTCATAAACGGAAGAAACATAATGGTCGGCCCGTCTGGGCAGTACATAAACCGCTGCCCGTAGAGCGTTTTTCGCAGGACATTAGCCTACAGAGGTACTTCCCCGCCATGCAGCGTGCGGGGTGGCTGTCTCGGCGATACTTGGCCATCGGCTTAAACTGTCTTTGCATAGGACGGATCCACTTGCCATGGTGAAGCTTCCGGATAAGTTGTGGAGGATGAAGATCACGGAGGTTCAGTGGTGAGCTTCGGTGGTAGTGACGTCGCGAGCTAGACCCGATAAGGTCATCGGTCCGCTTGCTATCTCCGCACGGTTCCGCAAGCGGGGTCAGCGAGCTGCTTCACGCTGGGGGGTCGTGGGAGCGATGAAATGAGTTGAAGTCTAAGGTATATAGGCGTAATTTTTAAGTCGGTTGGTGACTGTGCAAAAGATAAAGAGACAAGTGAGACGCCGACAGAGTACCCGAACTTAACGAGAAAAGGAAAGACTCATCGCATCATTGGACAGTACCGAAAGGAAATTGTGAACAGCACTGAGAGAGGAAATCAACGGTGCATCTCCGAAACACGACCGTTAGGAGACTTCGACTCCTCAATCTGGTCCTTATAGTCGTTGTGGCCGGTGTAAGGCTCAGCGACCATAGGTGCCGCAGGTCCGCCCACGGCAGCATACCGCTTACGCCTACGGAAGAAGCTGTGTCACGATGAGTCAGTATCTGTCTCAGTATCGCGACACTTGTGAGAGGGTTGACTTACATAACAGCTCCGATGATAGCAATCAGGATGGGCAAAACTAGACCAACGCAAACACCAATGATGATCTTGTTACTGACACCTCCGGTCGAGCCATTAACGATATCGTGAACATGGTCGCTTCCATCTTTGCCGTCTTCGTCGGGCGGAGCGACGTACGGAGTTGGTTTGCCGGACACAGCTCTCATAGTCTTTGCCTGCGTGCCGAATGCAACGGTCTCTTTGACGGTATCAGATGCTTCGACTGGCCATGTCGCTTCAACTCCTGGTGCCACTGACGTTGTGATGAAGGACATGAACGTTTTGCTCGTAGTGATTTGCGCTGAGTTGGGGCAGTTGGCAGGCCCTGTGATGTTGCAGCTAACACCGCTTCTGGTGATCTCCGTACTTATTACAGTCTCAGTGAGATCTTCGCGTCTCTCTGGAGCGGGTGTAATGGTGGGTAGTGCCGACGTTGGCTTGCCTGCAATGCCGCATACCTCTG